GTGTGTGTGTGTGTGTGTGTGTGTGTGTGTGTGTGTGTGTGTGTGTGTGTGAGTAAATTTATTGGTGTATTTTTAGCTCCCACCAATAAGTGAGAACATGTGGTATTTCTTTTTCTCTGCCTGACTCATTTCACTTAATATTATTCTCTCAAGGTCCATCCATGTTGTTGCAAATGGCAGTATTTCATTCGTTTTTATAGCTGAGTAGTATTCCATTGTGTAGATAAACCACATTTTCCATATCCACTCATCTGATGATGGACATTTGGGTTGCTTCCAACTCTTGGCTATTGTAAAGAGTGCTGCAGTGAACATTGGGGAACCGGTATACCTTTGACTTGATGATTTCCATTCCTTTGGGTATATTCCCAGCAGTGGGATAGCTGCCATGACCACCATTTTTAATCCATTCACTAGGCATGGTCCTCAGAATCTAATCACCTCTTCAAGGCCCCACCTTACAATTAGTGTAATAGATTACCCACCCTCCTAACAGTTACAGTGGAGATTAAGTTTTGAGGGGACATTCAACCCAAGGCAATGGTCATTTTCACCATATTAATTTTCTAATCCATGAACATGGGACATCTTTTCCTTTGTTTGTGTCCTCTTCAGTTTTTTTCATCAATGTTTTATAGTTTTCCTTGTAAAGGTCTTTTTCCTCCTTGATTAAATTAATTTCTAGTGTTTTTTAGGGGTTTTTTGTAGCTATTATAAATGGGATTGCTTTCTTGAAGATTTCTTTCTCTTCTTGCTAGTTACTGGTATGTAGAAACACTGCTGATCTTTTTTTTTACACTACTGATTTTTGTATGCTGATTTTGTATTCTGCAACTTTACCAAATTTATCAGTTGTAAGAGTTTTTTGGTGAGCTTGTAGGGTTTTCTGTATATAAGATAAGGTTCTCTGCAAACAGGAACAGTTTGATTTCCTCCTTTCCCATTTGTGTGCCCTTTATTTTTTCTCTTGCCTAATTGCTCTGGCTAGGACTTCCAGTTGAATGAGTGGAGAGAGTGGGCATCCTTGGTTTGTTCCTGTTCACCATGATACTAGCTGTGTGTTCGTCATATATAGTCTTTATTGTGTTGAGGTACGTTTCTTCTATACCTAATTTGTTGAAAGTTTTTATCCTGAAGAGGTGTTGGATTTTATCAAATGTTTTTTATGCATCAATTGAGATTACCATATGGTTTTTGTCCTTCATTCTGTTGATGTGATGTATCATGTTCATTGATTTGCAGATGTTGAACCAACCTTGCATTCATGGGATAAATTTCACTTGATCAGAGTGTGTGATCTTTTTTTTTTTTTTTGTCCTTTTTGAGACCAGCCGCACCGCGCTCAGCCAGTGAGCGCTGTGAGCGCACCGGTCATCCTTATATAGGATCCGAACCCGCGGCAGGAGCGCTGCTGCGCTCCCAGCGCCGCACTCTCCGAAGTGTGCCACGGGCTCGGCCCAGTGTGTGATCTTTTTAATATACCACTGGAATCAGTTTGCTACTATTTTGTTGGGGGTTTTTGCATCTGTGTTCATCAGGGATATTGGCCTGTTGTTTTCTCTTTTTTGGGTGTGTCCTTGTCTGAATTTGGTACTGGGATAATGCTGGCCTTATAGAATGAGTTTGGAAGAATTTTCTCATCAATTTTTTGGAAGCCTTTGAGAAGAATTATTATTAATTCTTTAAATGTTTGGTAGAATTTAGCAGTAAAGCCATTCGTTCCTGGTCATTTAATGGGAGACTTCTTACTACTGATTTAATCTTGTTACTTGGAATTGGTCTGTTCAGGTTTTCTATTCTTGGTTCAGTCGCGGTAGAATGTATAAGTTCAGGAATTTATCTGTTTCCTCTAGGTTTTTCAATTTATTGGTGTGTAGTTGTACATAATAGTCTGTAATGATCTTTTGTATGTTGGAGGTATCAGCTGTATGTCTCCTTTTGCATTTTTTTTTTTCCTTTTTGTCTTTTTTACTGACCGGTAACGGGATCGCAACCCTCGGTGTTGCACCCGCACCATGCTCAGCCAGTGAGCAGGAACCGGTCTCCACATGGGATCCGAACCCTCGGCGGGAGCGCCGCACTCTCCAGTGTGCCACCGGGCTGGCCCTCCTTTTGCGTTTCTGATTTTATTTATTTGGTCTTTTCTCTTTTTTTCTTGGTTAGTCTAGCTAATGGATTGTTGATTTTGTTTATCTTTATCAAAAAACCAACTTTTCATTTGATCTTTTGTATTTTTAGTCTCAATTTTGTTTATTTTTGTTCTGATCTTTATTATTCTGTCCTTCTAATTTGTATTTGGTTTGTTCTTGCTTTTCTAGTTCCTCGAGATGCATTGTTAGGTTGTTTTTTTCTTGTTTTTTTTTTTTTTCTTCCAGTTTTTGATTTATAGTCTGTTTTATCTGATATAAATATAGCTGCTGCTGCTTGCTTTTGGTTTTTGTTTGTATAGAGTATTTTTTTCCATCCCTTCACTTTCAGTCTACATGTGTCTTTACAGGTGAAGTAAGTTTCTTGAAGACAGAGTATTGTTGAACCTTGGTTTTCAATTTCTTCAGCCAGTCTGTGTCTTTTAATTGGGGAATTTAGTCCATTTAAACTCAAAGTTGTTATTGATAGGATTTAACTCCTGTGATTTTGTTGATTGTTTTCTGGTTGTTTTTAAATCTTTTGTTCCTTTTTTCCTGTCATTGTTTATCATTGTAGTTTGGTGGTGTTCTGTAGTGACAGGTTCGATTCCTTTCTCTTTCCATTTGTGTGGCTGCTTGACCAGAGAGTTTTATCTTTTGGATGTTTTCTTGATCGTAGTTATCATCCTTTTGCTTCCAGATGGTAGGACTCCTTTGAATATTTCTCCAGTTTCGATTCCTTTCTCTTTTCCATTTGTCTGACTACTTGACCAGTGAGTTTTATCTTTTGCATGATTTCTTGATGGTAGGTATAGTCCTTTTGCTTCCAGATGTAGGACTCCCTTGAACATTTCTCATGAGACCAAAACATTCTTAAACAAGTCTTTTTTCATGGAGATAAATTTTCATTTCATTTGGGTAAGTAATTAGAGTGGAATTAGGTCATTAAGGTAGATGTGTATTTAACTTTATAAAAAAAACCCGATTCTTTTTCACAGTGATATACTGCCATGGGCAGTGTATGAGAGTTTCATTTGTTTCATATCCTCACCAACATTTGATGTTGCTAGTCTATTTAACTTTAGCCATTCTGTTGGGTGAAAAGGTGTATCTCGTGATTTTAATTTGCATTTCCTTGATGTTAGTCTTTGGTATCACTTATCAATAACTATTCGAAAGTAATATTTGGACACTTTCAATTATTCAGAAAGTACTTATTAAATACCTGCTTGCATGTATGTGTAGTTTTGGGGAGTATATTTTTAATTAAAATTCAGATAAATTAAATGGAAAAAATTTTAAGTACTTTTAAGATCCTTTTAATGTTTCATGTTTACATTGTCTCCTGTTCATTTTTGATAACGTTTAATGCCTCCAATTAGGTCATGTTTATGTAATAAAAAGAGGATTGTTATTAAGTAGCTTAAGCTCCATTGTTAATTAATGCATAAGGAATATACGTATTAATTTTTGTTGCTTGCATATATTAAATGATACTTGATTTATTTTGACCAGTGATTTGATTATCATAAAATTCTTATTATTTATACAATTTCAGGCCCCCAGCAGTCTTCTTGATGCTTTGGAACAACATTTAGCTTCTTTGGAAGGAAAGAAAATTAAAGATTCTACAGCTGCAAGCAGGTACATTATTCTTTGTAGAACAAAGAGTGGGAGTGATTTTTCTCACTTCAGTTCAAATTCTAAGTTATTTAATTTCTTTTTAACTTATGTTAATTATGTATAAAATGGGTTTAATTATAGTATCAACCTCATAGAATTGGTATCAGGATTACATAGGTTAATACGTCTAAATTGTTGGAATAGGTTTCTGACCCTAAATAAATGTCAGTATCTGTTAAGATGATTGCAGTGACTGCTTGGTTTAAAATTGTTTTCGTAGAACCAGAATTTCTCTTAAAGATGATAGTGCATTGATTGGTATGGTACTTTATAATTATAAGATGTTTTTGTATTATTTGCTCAGTGCTCACATTAGCCCTGTGAAATATGTAGTATTAATGTTAGGACTCAAACCTAGGATGTCTGACATCAAATTTTATCTTCTTTCGCTAATGTCAACTCATGGTGTTAATTATTGACGTTATATTTTAGTCAGTTTATTCAGTTTTTAGCAGTTAACTTAGCAAATTGAAAATAACACAAATCATTTCTTTTTTTTTTTTTTTTTTTGTCCTTTTTGAGACTGGCCGCACCGCACTCAGCCAGTGAGCGCACCGGCCATCCATATATAGGATCCGAACCCGCGGCGGGAGCGCCAGTGCGCTTCCAGCGCCGCACTCTCCCAAGTGCGCCATGGGTTCGGCCCCACAAATCATTTCATATTGATCTTGTAATATGATTTTTGTGTTGGAATGAGTAATTACTTTTGAGTAATTCTTATGTTTTCTTATGAAGTGAAGAAAGAATTTGTATAAAGTATAATGAGAACCTTCTTTTGATTCTTTTTTTAGACTTTGATTATTGTTTCAAAACTTTTTCTAAGTATTAAGAAAATTTTATAATTTCTGAAGGGAAATGCTATTGCTGGATTTTAATACTTATTTTTAATCCAGATTTATGCTTTGAATTTTTTAGTAGGTTTTTAGGAGTACTGGCCAAAATTGTAAGGCCCAGTTGTTTTGAGAAAGTAATGAAAAATATAGCTATGTAGGTCATGTGTACCAACTTACATCAAATTTTATATAAAATTTCTTGGGTTCTTTTCATTTCTATCACAGCTGTTTTATTCTTCCTTTGTCTTCTGAGTTGTGTCTTTTATTGGCTCATTTGTAATATGGATTTTATACAAAATTTAAATATCTTTTCTACTTTACGTGCTTAGAGCAGAAATTAATTATGTTTAGTGTGTGGCAAAAGGAAAATTATTAAACATCAGGGTAGTTCTTCAGTTCAGAATTCTTTACCACATGTTTTTATTTAGCGTAGAATTTACATTTGGGAATTAAATGTTGGGGTTTGTGGTATGGATATAAGTCTCTGATAAAAGGGAAACGAGTTGCCTTGCTGTGAATCTGCCAGTGAGAGATGATACATTGTGCATCTATAACATATTTGGAAAGGAAATTCTAGTTTGGCAAAAGTGTAGCACGTAGAAATGAGGTGCCAGAGGGACTGGTGACTGGATTGAAACTGATCTTCTTTCAAAGGAACCTGGAAGTCCTTTGGGGATGACATCTTTGCATATTGTTATAGGGGGAACATACCTAGACACACATAACTTATTGATATACTCGTGTTTTGGTGTTCCTTTTGTAGCACTGCCAAACCCAAGGCTGTATGTTAGCAGAGGGTCTTTCCCATGAGAAACTCAATACTTTTTCCCGTCAGGGCTTTCTGGGAATATTTGGGCTCTTTCTCAGTTGTATTAGTTTCCTCTCACGGGGCTTGGAAAAGACGATGTCCCACACTCACTGTGAACGCTTCCCAAAATCTAGCGCTTATTTCAAAAGCAGTGAATATATGTCAGCAGTGTTCTAATCACTATAATCCTCTCGGTCACTGGGTGGAATATTTCATCTCAAGTATTGGTTTTGAGTTTATATATTAAGTTTATCATACTTATTGCACCTTTTTATGGCAAAATTGCCAGACCATTTTAAGGCCTCATTGTAATGTGAAGTGTTTGGCAAAAAGCCAAATTAACTTCATCCAATTATTCTAGGGCGACAACACTTTCCAATGCAGTCTCTTCCCTGGCAAGCACTGGCCTATCTCTGACCAAAGTGGATGAAAGGGAAAAACAGGCAGCATTAGAAGAAGAACAGGCTCGTTTAAAAGCTTTAAAGGTAAGTGTGTGCATTCCTTTTATTTGGAAAAACAAGTACAAGTGCTCTTAAAGTAAATAGGCCTCTACACAACACAGACTTATAGTATTTAATGTATACATATCTAATGGGCTGAAACTTAGTCTAATTTTTCTTTCTTAAATATTTATTTATTTATTTATTTTTGGCAGCTGGCTGGTATGGGGATCTAAACCCTTGACCTTGGTGTTACAAGGCAGCAGTCTAACCAACTGAGCTTAACCAGCCAGCCCTAATTTTTCATCCTGACATAGAATGACTGGCTAAAACAGTCAGAGAATACCTTTCTGCTATCAAAACAAAATTAGAAAGTGCTTTTTTTCAGAGGCTGCACAAACAAATCTGGTTTCTGGATTCTAATGGTAGTTCCCTTTCTCAACAGGAACAGCGCCTAAAAGAACTTGCAAAGAAACCTCATACCTCTTTAACAACTGCAGCCTCTCCTGTGTCCATCTCAGCGGGAGGGATAGTGACTGCAGCAGCCATCGACATATTTTCTACCCCTAGTTCTTCTAACAGGTATGTAGGGGTAGAGGTTAAGGCTACCTTTGAATCTTTAGATTTAAAGACTTTTAATAGAAATTTTGCAGACTTTTTCAGGTTTACTTTGATATATGGTTTTATAATCATAAATTCACACGAGAGGAGGTAATAAATGGTGGTATTGGTGTAATACCTAAATATAAAGTGTTAAGAGTTTATATTTTGCATATTTAGGAAATGGAAGATGGCTAATTTACTAATTTATACTAATTGGAATATAGTGGTTGTCTCTGGACAAACTTTTCATTGCCTAAAAGTTATGATTAAACACATTTATGAAGTGTCTAATATTTCAAGACCTTTTGTAGCTCTTGGATATATAGGTATGATATATATGTCAAAATATCATTTCAATGGATATTAAATATCTTGGAACAATAAAAGTAGGGAAAAAGTTTCCTTAACAAAATTCAAATTGCATTGATGTTTGATATTTAAAATTGTGTTTAGATTCATTTCAATAATGAAATCAGTTTTCCTGGGAAAATCATTGATCTTTTCTAGACGAGCTATTGTTATTTGAATCCTATATAAACTTAAGATGTGGTATTTGAATATTTTTCTAGGCCTCCTTAAAAGTATGCTGTTATATAAGGGGCACGCAACTATTATCTTGCTGAAACTGTTGCACATTTTGAGGTTTACTTTATTGGGCATTTTTTAATTTTTTAATGTTTTTGTTTGCAATGAGGGTGGGGTGGCTAATGTAGCAAAGTTTATCTAGTAAATAAAACATCTTTCCAAAATATCTTCCTAGTACATCAAAGCTGCCAAATGATCTGCTTGATTTGCAACAGCCAACTTTTCACCCATCTGTACATCCTATGTCATCTGCTTCTCAGGTAGCAAGTACATGGGGAGGTAAGCATTAATGAATTCTATTTTAGATATCATATAGGCATCTCCCCCATTCTGTAGTGTTTTACTTATTTGTATAGGTTTCGGTTACACTTCATGAGAACTTGAGAGAGATTAAAATGTCAGTGAAGTAATATTATCCCTTGAAGACACTTTTATTTATTATAAATGTAATTTTAGAATTTGTGTTTAATTAAATTATGAAATGAGGTTTAATGGAGATGAAATTAAATATAAGAGGAAGGACCGAATGTATGTTTAAATATGAAATCATTCTTTCAATGCTGAATTATGTTCCATAATCAGAAAATACATAGTGGTTATTTTACTTTTGGTATAGAAAAAAAAATTTACTGGTTGGGGGGCTCATTTTTGTGTAAGTATATGGTATGATAGGGTTCTGGTAAAACTCAGATGGTGTTATCAGTCAATGAACTATGTTGCAACCAGGAATCCCATGTAAGTATTATTTTACAAACACTCACTCAGTTTGCTGGGAAGGGAAAGTATATATTCTGAGAAAGAAGTATAGTGTATAAACAAAGGATGGTAAGATACCTTAAACTTTATATTGGTTCACATGTAAAATCTGAATTGATAGGCTTATCTTTCATAACAAAGATAAATTAATTTTTCTGTTAGTTTTTACAATATGTGAAGTAGGTTTTTTTTTTCATTTTTATTTTAATGATTTGAACTTCAAGAACATTTTTAGTTTGTTTTACATATTTATTTCTTAAGGCACTCTTGTATAGTAGGATGTAAGCTCTGTGAAGGCAGGAGTTTTAAAATATTTTGTTCATTCTTATATCTCTAATGCCTAGAACACTTCTTCGTATGCAATGGTACTTCAGAAAGTTTGTGAAAAATAGAATTAAAAGGTAATACAAATCTTGGGGCCGGCCCAGTGGCGCACTGGATAGTGCGCCACTTGGGAAGCGCGGCGGCGCTCCCGCCCGAGAGTTCAGATCCCACATGCAGACCAGTTCCCGCTCGGGTTCGGATCCCACATACAGACCGGTTCCCGCTCACTGGCTGAGCGAGGCGCGGGAGCAACGCCGAGGTTTGCGATTCCGTTGCCGGTCCCCGGTCCGGTGCGGGGGCAACACTGAGGGTTGCGATCCGTTGCCGGACATGGAAAAAAGACAAAAGACAAAAAAAAAAAAAAAAGGAAATACAAATCTTTCCATGAACCTTTTGAAGTACCCTCATATAATAGGTGCTTTGTTAATGTTTATTGAATTTTCTCTTCTTCTGGACCGATTATTTCTGTTTCAAGGTGGGACAAGGAACAGAGGTAGTGAAACACTTAAAGACTAGACTTTAGATTTTTTTGTGTGCCTTAACTTGATTTAAAAAATGAATTGGGGCCAGCCCCGTGGCGCACTCGGGAGAGTGCAGAGCTTGGGAGCGCAGGAGCGTTCCCGCCGCGAGTTCGGATCCTATATAAGGATGGCCGGTGCACTCACTGGCTGAGCGCCTTGTGGGGGCGACACCAAGCCAAGGGTTGCGATCCCCTTACCAGTCACAAAAAGACCAAAAAAAAAAAAAAATGAATTGACTCTGAAGGCTAGTTTAATTTAGCTAAATCTTAAGATCTGGGAATAATTTCTAAAAGTTATAAGATGGTTTAAAGTCAATAAATATTTTAGAATTATTTTAGAATGAAGTGTAGGCAGCAAATTAGGGTTAAGAAAGAAGTTTTTTAAATATCCTAATGATAAGTCAGAATTTTAGGATTTTTAATCTGCCAAACTTGTATGCTTATTTTCTTCCTTATTGTGAATTGCTTAAGAAAAGTGTAGTAGAATTAACATGACCATTTAAGCAGTTTTAGCCTATTTCCTGTTTTTTTTTTAAAATGAGTCTGTCTCTAAAACTGAGGCTGAGAAGTTGTGTTTATAAATACACTAAAAATTTTACAGAAGGCTTAATGAAATTAATATATTTAACATTCCCAAAATGCAGAACTGTGAAATTCTTATTTGTTTTGGATACCATGTGCAATTAATTCTAACATTGACAAGTTAAAGTTTCTGCTTGGAATTGTTGAATTCATGTATGAAAGCACATAGAGTATTAGTTTGGGAGAATAGTTGTAAGTAATTTCAGTCTGTAAGAATTGTTCATGTCTTATTAGAAGAAAATTATTCCATAGAAGTCTATATGTGAATACAATATTTTGCAATACATTTAATCACGTTTTATTTTTCTAAGTTATTTAGCTTTGTGTGCTATTTCCATAAAGATTTCCCCCATATTTTAACCCTCAGCTTGCTGTATATGAGAAATTAAAAGTACAAATCAAGTGCAGTGAGAAGAAAAGCAATAGAAATTGTGCTGTTATTTTTCCAAAAGCTTATTGTTTCATACGAGGAAAGGAATGTGATCTTTACTATGAGCCCTTAAGCAGAATGAAATCCTGTCTTGACTTTTATTAAAAAGATATTTGGCTTCCAAGTTGGTGATAATTTAAGGGTTTTGACTTCTGCATGATTGAATTACTGAACAGTATTTTAAGCCAAGAACTCTCAATACTTCCTAATTCAGTCAGCATTCATATCTATGATGTTCAGATTAAGATTTAAAAAAATTTTTTTTAATTAAATTCAAACTAAGATAAAGAAATAAATATATATGAAAAGTTTTGATAACAGTAAGTTCTTAAGGTATTTAGAAATTAACCACTTACCCGAACACTTTAACTGTGTAACATTTTATATCATGCTGCTTTCTTTGTATAGCATGTGACAAAGCAAAGGTATTTTTTATAATCCCCAAGTCTTGTTCTGTGCTTCACTTGCTTTCATTAGCTAAAAATGGATGCTAATTATAGACCTAGTATTTAATTTAGATATAAGCACCACAGAAATGATATGTATTTCTAGTCACAGATAGGTTGATGACAAAGTAGAGTTAAGCAGAGGAAAGGTTTGTAAGTTTCTGAGAGATATTTAAAATTCCACCTAAAAAATGAGTATGAGAGAGAGAACACAAGCTCTCCATTTTATTCACTGTACTATGAATGAGCCTTTGATTTTTCAACAAATGGTCTGGAATCTAAACAAGTACTTGGTGCTGTACTATAATAACTGACAATACTTAGGTTTTCATCATCCTGAAAACTTTGAGTTCCAGCAGATCTGAAATTATGCAATATTATCAGCTCAGTGCACTGTTGTGTACTTGAGGCAAGATTTCAAAATTTAATTTAGGTGTAAAAGAATTACCCATTCTGAAGTTTAATTTGCTTTATTCTTAGCTGGCATGAAAAACACAATACCTTATGAAAAAATTCATTTTTCTGTATGTATATGTAGCTATCAATTGTTTAGGACCTCAAGACTGTGATGCTATTTTATTCCTTTCTTCAACTTTTTTCGGTTATTTTTTCATGACTCTAGTGTAGAATAAAATTAAACTTTCAAATGAGTGATGATAAAAAATAATGGGTAAAATGTTTTAAAATGTTTAAGGAATATAAAATAGAGTTGCCAGTCTAGTAGGTAAAGCTTAAGTTGGAATAGCTGGAACATTATTATTATCATATCTTAACAAATTTGTTTTTATTATTAATAGTATAATGTCCATAAATAGATTAACTTCATCTAGATTACCAATAGCATCTTATCAAGCAGATTTGGAACTAGTTTTCCTTTTTGTCTGATAAAATTATAAATTCACTTGCACATGTTTCTGTATATTCTCTCTAGAATATTTCACATAATAGGAAATGATTGAAATTAGGTACTTGAATAAAACACTACCATCAATAGAACAGCAGGTAACTAGTAATCTTTTCTGAACTTGTCTTTTCTCATAAGCCAATGGATCTATTACAGAAATGTATCTCCTCTTTTTTTAAATGACTTCTGTCGTGGCTTTTTTTGCCTGAAGGACTAGAGGGATGTTTTTTGTTAGTTACTTGTCCAACCAAGTATAATGTACCTGTGCTTTAAAAACTCCATGCCACTATAAAATAATTAGAAACAGGACTTTCACCCTAACTTGTCTTAGTGCAACTCCTTTCCTATGCAAGAAGGAGAGTGGCCATCAGTATATTTGTATTAAAGTACAAAAACCAACTTCTTATATCTGACTGTTTCCTACTTTTTAGTTCTGAATTATTTTTTCTTTTTCTTTTTTCCCATTGTTCCATTTATTGGGGATGTTAAAACATGGTCACATGAGTTTAAATAGTATAATCTGCATATTTTGTTATGTCGTTTGACTTTTGAGTGTGAATTGATGTTTCATAGGAATGTTTAATTCCCAGAAAAGTTCTCATGTGATAGAAAAATTAATTACTAATTATTAAAAAGATGTTTAAACCAATGACGTCAGTATTTCCTTGGTAGTTTTCTTTTTCAAGCAGTTCTATTTGCGTTTGTGAAATACTTGCCTTGAATTTATTGACATTAAGAGAAGTGTACCTGTATCATAGTAAATGAACTGGTCCTTAGGTCATTGTTGCCTTCTTGTTCCATCATATGGTCTTAAGAATAAAATACAGTGCCTAATATTGTGAAGATACTACAGTATACTTCAGTGAAGTTCAAAAACTAGACTAGAGTAGACGAGAAGAGGCTGCTGGTTGGAAGTACAGGAATGCCTTTTCATTTTTAATTGTGTAACAAAGAAAAAGACACTGTATTTTTGCTGGTCTTAATTTTTTTCTCTCCATTTAGTTGACTCTCTAAATCTTAAGAAGGTAGGATAAATGACTTTCAGTCATTAGAATGATGATTGTCTTGAATGAGGTATAGGTACAGTAAATATCTCATTCTAGAATAACTTTTGATGTAGGATTTGATATCCTTGTAGTAGGGAACAACGGTTTTGTTATTTGTGCATTTGGTATCCTTGTAGTAGGGAACAACAGTTTTGTTATTCCTTTAGCAAATCATGTAAAAATTCTAAAGCTCTTAGCTAGACCTTCAAAGCTGTTCCTAGTCTCGTTAAGTGGGCAGTCTTTCATCTGTTCTTAATTGTCTAAAATCTCTTTTCCCATCCGTAGATCCTCGTCTTTATTTTTTTATTTCCTACTTTTGATCCGATATAGAAGTTATCTGCACATGGTAGGAACAGATCCTAATTTGTCACTACACCCCACACATACTTTTTTGTGAAAGTTTATTTATATCATACACATTCTAATTTTTTATATCAATTTTTGAGTAAACACAGCTCTGTCACCAAAGGCAATACACTCCCACCTAGGGCAGGGAAGATGGGTTATGGGGTGAGTAGCTCTTTTATAGAAACATCTCGGTTATTCTCTTTAATTATGTATCAGCTTTCTGATGTTGGAGAGCAAATCTACCGTGTGTTACTGTTGTTAATGGACACATAAATGCTTTATTCTGAGGATTTTTTTTTTTTTTTTTGGAGGATTTGTTTTAAGATATGTTAAATGCATGTCTTTCATCTTGGTGATTAGATATTTTTGCACTTAAAATTAATAAAAAATAATATATTTACTACTTTTCACTTTGCATCTTTTGACTAATTACAATACTAATTTATTTACTTTTTTTTTTTTTTTTTTTTTTTTTTTTTTTGGAGGATTTGTTTTAAGATATGTTAAATGCATGTCTTTCATCTTGGTGATTAGATATTTTTGCACTTAAAATTAATAAAAAATAATATATTTACTACTTTTCACTTTGCATCTTTTGACTAATTACAATACTAATTTATTTACTTCCTTTCTTCATTTTGCTCTAATACACTTGGACTGCACAGATCCTTTCTCTGCTACTGTAGATGCTGTTGACGATGCCATTCCAAGCTTAAATCCTTTCCTCACAAAAAGTAGTGGTGATGTTCACCTTCCCATTTCTTCAGATGTATCCACTTTTACTACTAGGACACCTACTCATGAAATGTTTGTTGGTAAAGTACAATTTAACCTTCTTTTCAATTAATGTTTATACTGCCTAAATATATTTTACGTATTCATTAATTTCTTTTAAAGCACTATAATAGTTAACTTTTGGATTTTAACAAATTTTAAAATAAACAGCAATAATGTAGTGAGGTTTTTTAAATGGACACTAATATCCCTCATTTAATACAAATTTTCAAGAAAAATTTCTTCTGATGTTGAACTTTTTTTAGTATTTTACTCTGTATTATGTTATAGTGCAATACTGTAGATGTATAACATCACATGCAGCATCCTGTTTCTTAGTTTGGAGAGCTGATTGAAAAGTAAACATCTCTTAAACTTATGTATTTATATGTGCTTATATTTTTCCCTTGTGCTTTGGAGAGAGGGCGGTTCTCCCTTTTTGTAGTGATCTTAATCTTTTTAAAATTTTTAACTGTTGCACATTACAATTTTATAGAGTCTGAAATCCATACATACTTTTAATCTCATTATTAAGAATTTCACTTTATTGTTAGCTTGGGGATAAATGAAAAGTGGGAAGTATGTGTTCCATTTGAACTAGTAAAGCAGAAAAGCATCTTGACTGGAATATCCAGTAATTACAGTATAAAAATCCATAAAAAGGCAAAAATTCACACCAAATTTATACAGGAAAGAGTATGTGTTTTTTTTAACTGTATACTAAAGCTGAAGTAAATGTTTTCGAATCCTGCTAAAAAAGGTGTTAAGCACACCTTTATAAAGATGATGAAAGCTTTTATTTAGTTCAGAGAAACAGCTTAAGGTGATGTAAATTTAAATATTTGATTCAAGCAGCATGTTGAAATTCATCTATTTACTACCCTAAACAGATCATGTGGCCACATTCTGAATATTCTGTTACATATATATATGAGAGAGAAGGGAGGGAGGGAGGAAAGCACCTAGAAAGCAAGTTAATAGTGGGGATTAGAGAAAGTTTCAAGTTAGGTGTTCTAGTTGTATATAACTAGACTAATAGCTCAAACCATGTATATACCCAAAGTGTAATAATAGATTACAATTCCTTTGTGTCATTGTAATACAAAATTGCTAACCCCTGCTCTGTAGGATTAAGAACAGCCCCCCAAAGTTAGAGCATAGCTATGTATCTAGCTTCCCTCCAACCCTACCATAGGAAAGTATTTATCTTATGATACTCAGTGTAATAGCTAGCTTGTTGTCATTGAAGCTACAAAACATTGAGTTGTGAGTCAAGGATAGTGGGTTGTGGTCCTCACTGTGGCGTATATGTGATTGTCTGTGAACTTGTCTAGGCCTGCTTTCACATCTGTAAAACCAGACATTAGAAAAGAGGTTAGTATTGGCTAAAAAGCCAACTGCCTCATATTTCTTTTTCTAGTGAGATACAGTGTTGTTTTTTGGGTTTTTTTTAATGTGTTGCAAACATAATAGGGTTTTTTTTAATGTTTTGTTTTTATTGGTTATGAATATTCATGGAGTACAAAGCAAATTGTCACCACTCTTGCCTAAGATGTGATGGCCAGATTCATGCTGGCAGCATGTCCATTACCACAAATTGAGATTATGCCCTGTGCCTCCCACCCAATTATCCCCAACTTCCCTTCCCATCCCCCTTTCCCAATTTTTTTTTTTAATAGAATAGTCATAATGGAGCCTTAAGTTCTTTTTTTAGTAAATTGTAATTTGAAGGATGCCAAGTGCTTAGACTCCCCGTGATTTTTCTTTTGTTTTGTTTTTCTCAATCCATCCCACTCTTAACAGTTTTTCCTCTTCTTTGTCTTTTTTTCTACTTTCTCTCCTCTCTCCCTTTTCTTCTTCTTGTTTTTCCTCCCTCCCCTTTCTCCCCATCCTTCATGCCTTGCATGCCTTGTCAGAATTTTTTGTGGCACTCAGGTTTGTCCTAATACGGCCTTTAAATGTCATGAGTCTTCTACTGTGGCTGTCTTATTTGGAAGTAGATAACAGTATCTCTAAAATTTGTCAAGTTATTTATGCAGGAGGGATTTTTTTTTTCTCAAAATATCTTTTTTATGAACTTGGTAAGAAAAAAATATGCTTATTTGCTTTTGAAGAATATACCATTTTTTGCCTAATTTTGTTTGCCTTAATTAAACACATAGTGGTTTTGTGAATAGATGCCTATCTTCTTCTTTAATACCTACTCAGGATTTGTGAATTTTTAGAAGAGTATATGACATTTTAATATTACAAGCTTATGGAATTTAGAGCTATTTGTATATTCATCTGTGTCTTTCCGAACATGTTCTAGGCCAGTGCAGTAGCAACAAAACCTCAAAGTGCAGCTGATTTTGTGTGTGTGCGTGAGTAGTAGTAGTAGTAGTAGTAGTAGTAGTAGTAGTAGTAGTAGTAGATTACCCTAGTTAAGTTAGAAAACAGATTTTAGGGGCTGACCAGTTAGTTCACTTGGTTTAGAATGTGGTGCTGATAACACCAGGGTCAAGGATTTGGATCTGCTAACCAGCCAGCTGCCAGAAACCAAAAAATACACACACACACACACACACACACACGTTTGACACGACTAAAGAGTTGAGATTCTTGACTGGCAGTAAGAATTGGGCATGCTGAATGTATTTAAAAATGGAATTTGTGAGGGCAGTTGATGGAAAAAAGATGTTTGGAGTCTAGCGAACATGGCTTCGAATTCCAGTTCTACTGTGTAAACTTTGTGACAAACGTGTCTTGCAGGATTTTCATGAGGTTTACATATGTGACTATTTAACTTCTAGTACTGTGCCTGGCACGAAAATTACCATTAAAACTACCACTATTAAGAAACATCTTGTATCTGTGGACCGCTTCATACTTTACATATACTTTTTATCTAAATTATTATTTAATCATCAGGTACAATCTCAAACATTGATTACTTTTACATTGCTTTTAAATTTTAAAATTGCCAAGGGGTATTCATTTTTTTGGCCCAGGATTAGCAGTGCTCAAGAAGTTCATAAAACCTGAATCATTTTTAATTAATAATAATTAATTAGTTATAATAAAATTTATTTTTCTACATAGTAGTTTATGTATGGTGAAATACTTGGTGTAAACCAAAACCCCTAGTAGATGCTGGAATCAAATTGGGGTTCAAGTCTTGTTTCTGTCACTTACTAAATCTTTGACCTTTGTTAAATTGTTTAATCTGTTAGTTTTCTCATTTGTAAAATGGGGATAATAACTATTTCATAGGGTTGTTGTGAGGTTTAAATAATATCCTGTTTGTAAAGCCCTTGTAAAGTGTTTAATAGGGTTTAATAAGTGGTATGAGGCCTAATTTATTATGGAATACCACCAAAATCCTCTAACAACCCAATTTTTCTTAAAGGTGTTTGGAATGCCCTTCTGTTCCCAAAGCTTGTCGATCTTGTACCTTTCAGTTAATGTGTTTTTGTCCACATGAGATTTCCCCTGCATGGTGGTGGTTTCTAAAGTTTTCACTGGGACTTGGTGAAATGAAAGAGTAGGCGGGACAATGTAATGATCATTTTATAAAAAATTAATCTTAACTTAGTCTATTTTTTTTTGTTTGTTTTTCTCTAAAATCCCCCTTTTGAAATAGTTATAGTTTCATTTTAAGTAACTTTTAAAAATTAAAAGTTGGCAATCTTGACAGTTTCCCAAAAAGTGACTAGGGACAAAAGGCCATTAAGTTGATGATGTGCATTAGAATGATAATGCAAAACTCTTACCTTAAATGTGTGTGTATTACAGGTATTGGTTAATTACTTAAAGTATTGTTACTTTGGAAATACACTGCTTGTTTCTTTCCCCAGTAGCTAATCGGCTATTGCAATTTATTAAATATTGCCTTTTTGCTTTTTTCCTCTGTCTACATACAGGCTTTTTAACCTTGAGATATGGGCTCTATATTGCTTTATATCCTTTCTAACCTTATGTTCTTTTAGGTAATAATATTGTAATTTCACAGATTGGTGACCCTAGGGACCTCAGGAGATAGCTCCTCTCTTTACAGAAAATAACGAAGTTGTTTTTATATCACTGTAAAGGATAGGCTTATCTCTGTGACATCAACCAAATTCTAAAAAAGTGGGACAAAATAACAGGAGAAAATAGTGATTTGATTTATTGGCCTAGTTTAAAATTCTTGTTCCATGTACTGTCAGCCCTCTATAACTGCAGGTTCGACATTAATGAATTCAACCAACTGTGGATCAAAAATATTTCAGGGATGGGGGAGACAAAAACAATACAGTGCAACAACTATTTACATAGCATTTACATTGCATTAGGTATTCTAAGTAATCTAGAAGATGATTTGAAGTATATGGGAGAATGTGTGTAGGTTATATGCAAATACTATGCCATTTTATATAAGGGACTTGAACATCTTTGGATTTTGATATCCTTGCAAGGGGCAGTTGGGGACGGTGACCCTGGAACCAATCCCCTGAGTATACTGAAAGATGACTGTATGCTCTGAAGGTTAGTGATATCATAGCCAAAATTGCTACCAGAATGATTTAAAAAAAACGTGTATTTCTCACACTGCGATGGCAGCATGGGTACATAATTAAGCATAATAGATTTTTATCTTTCTTGAGTTAGATACATTGGCTCATGTGAGGAGTTATGAGAACTAGTAAGCCCATGGTATAATTTTTAGACAGCTTGCACACTTTAAAATGTTATTGAATACATAAGTCTAGAATTCTAGAAACCTTTTGATGAATGGTCAGGAGATTTGTATACTAATTATTTTGTATTCTGATAGTGTTTGTGCTTTTACTGTATGACCAGTATCTTTGTGTTAAGGGTAGTTTAAGGGTTAAGTAATCAAATGGAACGTGATCAAATTTGTACATTCTCAAAAAATTTACACCCTATAGAATATTCATTATAGAATGTAAAATGTCACTTTTAAAGTAGTATCATTGATGTGTACCAGCTTGTATGGGTCATTGTTGGAATAAGCCATTGTTTTCCAGCTTTTCCTGGTTTTGAGGACCTTGTTGGACTTATCACCAAATCTTGTCCTACTTTTTAGTTTTCACTTTTTCTAGTACAACATAACATCATCAGGGGCTGGCTGCTACAGTGCGCCGCTTGGGAGCGCGGCGGCGCTCCCGCCGAGGGTTCGGATCCCACATACAGACCGGTTCCCGCTCACTGGCTGAGCGAGGGGCGGGCGCAGCACTGAGGGTTGCGATCCGTTGCCGGACAAGGAAAAAAAGACAAAAAAAAAAAGTTCAGGGTGAGGTTCTGACTGAAGGTCCTTTAGCAGAAATTTAGGAGAGGAGGAAAGAGAGAAACTATGTTTAGGACTTATTTACTTTTCCAGTGGTTCAGTTGTTAACCTTCTAATATCAGGTGATTTTTTGTTTGTTTACCTTCTGACTTGATAGAATTTAGAGATGGAAGAGACCTGTGGAGTTATTTAGAGACCTTAGGAGCCTCCTACAAGATAAAGAATTCCTTCCTTGTGATTCTTTCTAGATAGCTCTTTACTTGGATATACTCAGTGATTAAAAGTTTCTTAAGTCATATGACAGCCCTTATAATTTTAGATTATTTTAATTCTTCTTTTTAGCCTCTAGAAATTCTGAACCTCACTTCACAAAAATACAACCTCATGCAGTTGAAAATCTTACATTTGTTACCTCAGCATAGGCTGATGTCAAAGACCTAAGTTTGGTGTCCGCTTAATACCACTAGCATCAGTGTAACACAGGCAGTAAAGAATAAATTTGATTTCCTGTTTACAGTTTGGTGTTTCAGGCTACAACTAGGTTAATTAGCATGTTTGCGTGTACACTTGTTAGCCTCACTGTTGGAAGTAGTAAATTGAAGTTAGAGGGGATTGGAAGTTGACAGTGGTATATCTTTTTTCTTTGATGTTCTGACATAAGGATTAGTGGGTTGCAACTTTCAGGATCCTGCCTCTTCTCAGGTGAACTTAAATCATGAAGCTTTTAATTAACTGTTTAAGGAAGAAGAGAGATTTATGGAAGATGGGTAGGTGGAGGGAGAAAGATTTTTATCTTGGGGCTACTAAGAAGATTCATGTATTTTTAAGTACCATAGATTACTTGCTTTATTCCCGAATTATCCTTTATATTCTGTATGTTTTGCTTCAAGCAAAATCCTGGAATTTTAGATGTGTTTTGTTTTTAAAGATTGTCAGCATGGGCCAACCCCGTGGCGCACTCGGGAGAGTGCAGCGCTGGGAGCGCAGCGACGCTCCCGCCGCGGGTTCGGATCCTACATAGGGATGGCCGTGTGCTCACTGGCTGAGCGCGGTGCGGGCGACACCACACCAAGGGTTGCGATCCCCTTACTGGTCATGAAAAAGACAAAAAGAAAAAAAAAAGATTGTCAGCATACCAAATTAAGGTAAAAGATAAGCAAAGATTTTATTTCTGTAATGAAGCAAACTAGTAGTTCAACATCAGTTGCTCCTTTGTTAGTTTTGTCAGTGAGATGATTTTGTTATGGAAAATGTAATCACTACAAAAAAATGTGGTGGTGTAGAAAACACTTTGCTTGAAGGGTTGGCTTTATTTTTTGTTGGGGGAATTTATTGTTTTTTCCATTCTGTTGTCATTGTTATTGAAGAGCTATAAATGTAGAGTTATTAAAGAATTAAGCATTTTTCCATTTTGGTTTTTTCAGGGTTTACTCCTTCTCCAGTTGCACAGCCACATCCTTCAGCTGGCCTTAATGTTGACTTTGAATCTGTATTTGGAAATAAATCTACAAACGTTATTGTAGATTCTGGGGGTAAGAAAAAATTTTTTTGTTAAAAGTACTATAATGTTCTAAATTAGATTCTGTGTAAGGAAAGATAATGTTGCTTTTAACATATATAAGTAGATTAAACTGGGGTAGCCAAAGAAATTGACCACCCTTCCCTTTCCATTCCCCCAACCACTAGATGAGAATGTTAAGGAACTATTAATCACTACCCTTTTCTTGGTGGCAGTTTAGACTCTGTGAAGATTGTTTGTCCCAGAGCAAAATAAGAGAGAGAAAAAGAGATTTAGCTTAGTAGAATGCTAAGTTGCTCGTAACTGTGTGTAGAATGTTTTGCCTTTTTAGTCATTATAATTTTTACCTTTACTGAAGTGATAATAACTTTATTATATTTTAATGTATGAAATTGGCTGTTTTTGAAAACTAGGAAAATATACTTTTTGTCTTCTTTATGTAGTGTATAAACAACTAGAATGTACTAAATTTATCAGGCCTGTGGGTGCAGGGGCTTTTAATTATTTTAAGGATGATTCTTATACTGTGCTTATTCATTTGTCTTAAAAGAATTTTATAAATCTGTAGAGTCAGGTTTCCATTAATATCTTGTTAATTTGAAGTTTATGAAGTTCCTATAAAACTTTGACACTCAGTAATTCTATTCTTGTCATGGGGTGGCCTTTGACTTTGATTACTAATTAAATTTAGTCATTTAAAGAGAATTTGTTGAAGTGTCTTTAATTTTATAATATATAATTAGTTACTATCCAGAAAGAAGCAATTATTTAAAAATTATTATAAGCAATTATTTTAAAAATAAAGCGATTATTGCATTATAAGAAGCAATCTTATAAAGAATACATATGGACTAAGAATTTGTTTTTTTTCTGTGTACTAATAGATTTATAATTACATTTTTTTTTAATGCATTTGACTTTTTACTTTTGAGTTTGTCTTGCCTGAGACAAAGGAAATATTGTCAGTTGTTCATACATTGTAAACCACCATCTTTGGTGACTTTCTTGTTCAAACTTTTTAATATTTCTAGATCATGCTATTGAGTTCCTTAAAGTTGGTTTGGTTGGATTTGCTTTTACCTTAAGTCCTTTGTTGGAGAACCTTAAGAGTTTTGTTTTGATTTTCCAGAAATATCCTAGTTTACTAGATGAGTTTATGCAATTAGAGTAGGTTAGCAGTTTCTTAGATATAATTTAGGTTAGCTCTTATGTTTTGCACTTTGAAGAGTATAAAAAGGTCTACAAGATATTGTTTCTTAAAGTAAAAGGAACTTTTTTCAAAGTTGCAGAGATATATTTTCTATCTACATTGCTTTAGGTATAAGTGAGTGAGAAAATCTTGCCAGGTGAGGGGGAGAATTGCATTCCATTTCCTTCCCTTTCACAATGCTGCTGTTTTCATCCCTTCTGTCAAGGCAGATATAGCCTTCTCAGTTCATTTTGAAGTGATAAATGTCTTTTTCCATTTAAAGGCATTTACTAATGCCCATTTTTTTTGGAGAACTTTTCCAGTGAGGTAAAAAAAAAAGAAAAGGCAAAGCTATCCTTCAGAAAGCTGTAGCACCGTAAAGTTCCTTACAAATTCTGTTTCATCTGTTTGTAACTTTAAGGCTTTGATGAACTAGGTGGACTTCTCAAACCAACAGTGGCCTCTCAGAACCAGAGTCTTCCTGTTGCCAAACTTCCACCTAATAAATTAGTATCTGATGACTTGGATTCATCTTTAGCCAACCTTGTGGGCAGTAAGTAGTCTTTGGATTCTTCAATCATTTTAAAAATAAGTTGTTTTATTAAAATGAGTCTAGTTTTAAAATGCTTTTTTTTCTCCTGTTTTAGATCTTGGCATTGGAAATGGAACCACTAAGAAGTGAGTGTTTTATTTGTATCCTTTCCCCATATGTCATTTAAAGTCTGATTTGGCTTCCATCTCGAAAGTATGTGTGTTAAGTCTGCATCTTAAATGCTCTGTTAAATCTGAGTATATAGTAAAGAAACTTTATAATTAGAGACTTTTAATATTCCCACTTATGTTTATTTAAAGTGATGTAAATTGGAGTCAGCCAGGTGAAAAGAAGTTAACTGGAGGATCTAACTGGCAACCAAAGGTTGCACCAACAACTGCTTGGAATGCTGCAACAATGGTGAGTTGGAAAGCTCCTGATATGATAATACGTGAATAAATTTAGTTAAATGTAACATGAAAATGTTTTTAAAGTGGTAGACATAAATTGAAAGATCGTTCCTGAGTTTTAGGAGTAATTTGTATTTCTTTTAAAGGAAGCTGGTTAACTATATTTGACATTTTAATAACTAACATGTATTTAAGTGTTGCTTTGTATCAGGCATTATTCTAATAAATAATATGTGGTTTTATTTTATATAACTCTCATATTAACCCTCTGTAGGAGTAACTATGATTATCCCCATTTCACAGATGAGGCACAGAGTTAGTTATTAAGTAATATACCCAGGGTCACAGAGTTCTTTAAGTAATGGGGTAGATTTTTAGAACCCAATTACTTAAGAATTTTAGAACTCTGCAGCCTAACTGCAGAGCATATGTTCTTAGTCACTGCTCTATACTGCTGCTCTCAAATTTAGTGTTTGTCTAGAATATAAAATCTTTAATTTTCTTCTGATCTCACCATACTTGCTTGGCTTTTGTTAATATTTTCATTTAATATGTACAGTTGATTCTTGTTATTTTGGCAGTTAAGAACTTAAAAGTCACCCTGAACACTGAATTAATGAACACAGAGCCATTGCTACGGGAAATATGTACACATATATGCATATGTCACATAGATAATAATCTTAAATCCTAAAAAAACCCCAAAAACCTCATTCTAGTAGATTCCATTTTATTTTACAAAAGCGAAAATAAAGTTCAGAAGTGTTAGGTGACTTGCCTGAGGCTGCCCCCGACTAAGTGCCAAAGTAGGAATTCGAGCAATACTATCTAGCTCCAGGGCCAGAACTTTTTTAGTACACTGGACTGCCCCTTGCTTTCTCCATCCTCTGGTTGTCCCTATATGAGAGCTGAAACAAGGAAGAGCGTTGCCTTTTCACACCTCAGCTGGGAATGAGCTGTATCAGGCAACTCAAATTTTTTGCCACTCTGCACATGTCCATGAATGACCTTGACATCACCATGAGTATTGATTTGGGGGTTACAAATTTTAGTGTATAGGTAAATTTGCAAATACAGAATCCATGAATAAGAGGATAAACTATATTTGTTAGTTAGATAGTATCTAGTACTGAAGAGGTTCTAGTAATGTTTTTAGTTAATGTAAGGCACAGTTAAGCCCAAAGTAGCTTTGTGGCTATTCACCTATCCTTGGCCAGCTGTTATTTTACCAATTCAAGCAGTCTCCCTTGGGCAGAAAAAAACATACTCCTCCTTGTGGGAAAGTTCGAAACATGCATTGTGCTAATGATGTGTTTGCAGAAGCATTTCAATTACAAAGTCTACACATTATAGTCTTACTATTGTTATTAGAGAACATCATTGTCCTTGTTATAGCCACTTTCTTGTTATTAAATCCTTTCCAGAGCATTACTGTGTTTTAAGAGTTTTATTAGCTTCCGACTTTGTAAATGGAAAGTAATATTGAAATTTAGCTAAATTTTTCAGTGGTCACTACTATCATTAATAGTAAAACCTTGTATTTAAATAATTTAGGTTTTACACAAATACACACAAATGTACACACACATTCATACTATCTTAAAGCTGTAAACAGTGCTCTCTTGGGAGTTTGAGCTTGTAGGAAGGTACTTCAAAAAGTTCATGAAAAGATTCATATTGTCTTTTAATTCTATTTTTCCGTAAACTTTTTGAAGTACTCTTGTATCATCCCAATTTTAAGGATTAAGCTATGTGATTTTTTTTCCCCAAGTGTGAAGCAGCTGGAAAGCAGATTTATATTGAAATCCATCCTTTCCAACTCTGAATTCAGTATTGTTTTTTTCACTATAACACACCTCACTGACTAGAGGATGGCAGGAGTTTAGGTTTGTAGGTTTTCTGGTCTCAGATGTGTATTATACATTGATTATGTGGAATGATATACAAATGCTGACCTTAAAATACAATGAATATTTTATTTTTTATTAAGTTAGTATTAATCTGTATGAAATATTAGAAGTTTGTAGATACGAGGGTACTTCAAAAAGTTCATGGAAAGATTCATATTATCTTCTTATTCTATTTTTCTACAAATGTTCTGATGTACTGTTGTAGCATTTAAGATTGACTACTAAAATGTAATAGTTCTATCTAACCATCTAGAATCTATATGTAAGTTGATAAGATAGCAGTGCTTGTAATCCTGTGTAGTACATGGTAATGTGTATCATTATCTTAAAGATTTTATTAAAATATTTATATGCATTTTATAGAGTTCCTTTTTAATGGCTCACGTTTGGGGCTGATGATGTAATTCACTACTTAAGATAAACTGCTGCTTATGACATTTCTTTACATTCCTAACTTTTTATTAATCCTTAAACACTGTCAAGGTTTTAAAATATTTTTTTACTTAAAACAAATTTATTAGAATTTTATTAAAATATGTTATAGTACTAATTTTTTTAATTAGTCCTTGCTTTTTTCTTCTGTGGTAGATGTTACCTGATGTGACCCTGTTTGTGGGACACACTGGATTTTGTACTGTTGATACTACTGATTTTTATGTTTTAATGACATTTATAATCAATAAACAATTGTGTATGTGAAAGGAAGAGGCAAGACTAAATTTCTCTTGTCAACCTTGATAGTGTTTTAGTATAGATGTTCTTTCATTAGATACCAGAAATACAAGGGATTTTAGGTAGTCAGTGAATGTACATGTGAACTAAAATGCTCTCTGTGTATTTTCTGTTGTGTAAGTACTTGTTCTAATCCAGTGTTATTGCATTATGTAATTGTTCTCCCTGGGAAAAACAGAATGGCATGCATTTTCCACAATACGTAAGTGACCAAAAACTAGCCTTTTTGCAATAAATTGGCATGCTATTAACCACTGCTATAGCAGAATCTCATAACCTTCCAGCTATTACTTGTTTTCACATTCAGATTTTCAATGTGCCAGAAATTCTTCCTAGCATCTACTGATTTCATGGGTGTGTTGCAGAATTGATTCTGATGGTGGCATGGGAAATACCCATTTTTTTTCTTGCTTAATATTCTGCCATTTGCTGCCAGATGGCTGGTTGTCTGTGTGTGTATCTGTGCTGCCACTATGCACTTGATGATTTCTGAATGAAGGGAAATGTTGATTGTGGTAATGTTTAAAATAACAATTGCATGAAATCTTACAGGCTTCTGCTATATTTGGCAGTTTGTCTACTGCTCTTGCAGACCTTGGTTTTAAGTAGGGAGAGACCAATAAGCCCTACATACTCACCCAAATACTAAACTTTTAGCTGTTCACTTTAGTGTTATTTTTTAAAAGTTATGCTTCATTTAACTTTTCCATGCATATGTTCAAATTGCCATATAATTTCAGTTTTTTTTAAATGTATCAGCAGTGTTATTGGTCTTTCACTTGTGTTCAGTTTCAGTTTTCCTTATGAGAAGCACACAGGGAATGTTGTTAAGACAGCAACTATATCTGAAACGATTCTGTTCTCAGATTGTATATTTACAGATTATCAGTTAAAGTAGTAGGAGTCCCAACTCTCTTTATGTGGTTTAAAAAAAAAAAGGCAGGAGGAGGAAGGGAACTTAAACCTTAGTGGTAGGGCCGGCCCGGTGGCGCACTAGAGAGTGCGCCACTTGGGAGTGTGGCGGTGCTCCCGCCGAGGGTTCGGATCCCATGTGGAGACTGGTTCCCACTCACTGGCTGAGCATGGTGCGGGCGCAACACGGTGCGGGCGAGGGTTGTGATCCCATTGCCGGTCAGTAAAAAAGACAAAAAGAAAAAAAAAAAAAACACCTTAGTGGTAGATGGTTCAATTATGCATTAAAGCGTAAACTGACTTATAAATTGTTACTGTTAAATAACTATTGGAATAAATTAGAGAGAAAGCTTAACATACGTAGTCTTTAAATAAGAGCTGTAATTCATAGAAATAGTTACACTCAATAGCGGTTTGAAACCTTTGGGCTTCTTTGAAAAGAATGAATGAGATCCTTAGAAACAATTTTTTGGAAGATTAGGTTATTACCTGATTTAGGATCTTTAAATTTTTTCTTTGAGTGCTAAAGAAATGAAGTACCTAGGAAAAGCATTCAATAATATTACTTAGGGGCTGGCCAGTTAGCTGAGTTGGTTAGAGTGTGGTGTTAACACCAAGGTCAAGGGTTTGGATCCCCATACTGGGCAGCTGCCAAAAATAATAATAGTAATAATAATACTATTTTTCTGGATAAACATTTTTTATGATAGTGATAGGCTTTATATTTTTGAAATTTAGAATTTTTTTTTAAATGGAAATATTTTTAGAGCTATAAAAGCATGTTGAAATCTTAGATCACTTGTATCTAAGTTTAAGTGGTTATTTTTCCTTCTGATAATTCTGCTTTTCTGCTAATTTCAAGACACTTTTTTTCATTGCACATTAATTGACACAGTTATTAATGATCACAGTGTCACTTAATCATAGCTGTCTTAGCAATTCTTTTTAGTGGAACTACAGTTATTATTTTCTTAAACTCAGTTGGCACACATGAGTTACACTTCCTTGTTTATTTTTTCTTTCACCATCTCAGGCACCCCCTGTAATGGCCTATCCTGCTACTACACCAACAGGCATGATAGGATATGGAATTGTAAGTATTTTTCAAGATACAACTTTTGGACATAAGACTGATTTATATTTAACGTGCTTTTATTACAAACTGAACTGAAAAAAGAATTTAGTGCTTCACATACCCCTAGCCTTAGTGTCTAACATAATGGAACCATAGCGATGGTTTCCTAAGTATTTCTAGAATAATCATTATACAACAGATATTATTTATTAAGTTTTACAGTATTACCTGGCTTATTTTTCCACTCATAACTTTGGTAGACATGTTATATTTTATGGCAAACTCATTTAAACATTAATGTTAACTTTCAAGCCTTTGTTGCTGTGACCTTACATTAAATAGCAGCGAGGCCTTCTGACCTAATACTGTAGGGGAAGGGAAAGATTAACATTTCTTGAATTGTATGGGTGTAAATTTAGTTTGGTAAAGGGTAGAGAAATTTTCCTATGACAATGATTGTTACAGTACAAAAATAGTCTTTTAATGTTTCAGCTGTCCGCAATTCACATTCTAGACTGCTCTGACTCTCCCAATTCTCTCAAATATACCGACTCACTTAGATAGGAAATGGAGGTAGTATATACCCACTGGTATATATTTGAGGAACTGTTGCTGATAGAAGGCAGCACTATATTCCTTTGTACTGCTACTGTGGCTGCTGTGCTATACTTCTTTATGCACATGATATGGAAGTAGATCTTTCGTAACATATGGAAAAGTTTCACATGTGGAGAAGCTTTTAGATTGGTGGTCATTGCATTAAAAACTCTGCACAAAAACTCAGGGCGTAAACTTAAGCGAAGCTCAATATAAATAGTAGTCTATTCGAAAGTAAAAAGTAGAATTTCTTGAAAGATAAGATTTTAGAATGTTGCATTTTAACCAAAATAATACAGTGGTCTGTATCTGCATTATTTTCACACCAGGTATTATCACTTATTATGTTAATTTTATACCCTGGAGTGGTAATTTTAAAAGAAATAGATGGTTGGTTGAGATTCTATTTTCCATTACTCAAGGATGAATTAACTTCTTTATGTTTAATTTTAAGCCTCTTTTTGATCCTTAACCCAAATATCTGAAATCAAATGGAAGAACCATAGAGAGTAAACCTCTTCAAAGAATCAAATGTCTTCACTTGTGATCACTTAAATAGTGGCACAAGAACTTGATTTGGGGCCGGCCCGGTGGCGCACTGGGTAGTGCGCCGCTTGGGAAGTGCGGCGGCGCTCCCGCCCGAGGGTTCGGATCCCACATACAGACCGGTTCCCGCTCACTGGCTGAGTGAGGCGCGGGAGCAACACCGAGGGTTGCGATCCTGTTGCCGGTCCCGGTCCGGTACGGGGGCGACACTGAGGGTTGCGATCCGTTGCCGGACACGGAAAAAGACAAAAAAAAAAAAAAAGAACTTGATTTGATATACAAAGGCAATTTACTTTGTTTTGTTTTGTTTTTTATTTTATCTTCTCAATATGCATTGTAGTTGATTTTCGTGTCCCTTTACCCATTCCTCTTTCCCTCTCTCCCCACTCCCCCCACTACATCATATCTGTTCACTTACCTGAACAAGTTCAAGGAATTGTGATTGTTTTGTCTTCTTCCCCCCACACACCCTTTATTTGTTTATATATTTATTTATTTTTAGCTCCCAAAGATAAGTGAGAACATGTGGTATTTCTCTTTCTGTGCCTGACTTATTTCACTTAATACAATTTTCTCTAAGTCCATCCATGTTGTTGCAAATAGTAGTATTTCATTCTTTTTTATAGAAAAGCAGTATTCTATTGTGTAGATATACCACAGTTTCCTTATGCACACATCTGATGATGGACATTTGGGCTGGTTCCAACTCTTGTATGTTGTAAATAGTGCTATAATAAACATGGGAGTACAGGTATCCCTTCGGCATGATGATTTCCATTCCTCTGGGTATATTCCCAGCAGTGGAATAGCTGGGTCACATGGTAGGTCTATCTGTAATTGTTTGAAGAACCTCCAAACCATTTCCAAAATAAAGCCTGCACCATTTTGCAGTCCCACTGACAGTGTATGAGTTCCTTTTTCTCCATAACCTTGCCAGCATTCATCACTCAGTCTTTTGGATATTAGCCATCCTAACTGGAGTGAGATGGTATCTCAGAGTGGTTTTGATTTGCATTTCCCGAATGCTGAGTGATGTTGAGCATTTTTTCATGTGTCTGTTGGCCTTTCGTATATCTTCCTTTGAGAAATGCCTATTCAGCTCCTTTACCCATTTTTAATTGGGTTATTTTTTTTGCTGTAAAGTTGTTTGAGTTCCTTGTATATTCTGGATATTAATCCTTTGTCAGATGTATGTTTTGCAAATATTTTCTCTTACTCTGTTGGTTGTCTTTTCACTGTGATGATTGTTTCTTTTGCTGTGCAGTTTGATATAATCCCGTTTGTTTATTTTTCCTTTGGTTGAAAGGCAACTTACTTTGAAATGTCTTAGTAGTTAAGACATAGTGTCTTAAGTTTTTTCTCTGTCTAAACCTGGCAAGTTTGGAAATTTTGGAAGTTTTTGGTCTAAATCATTATTGTCTGGGCCGGCCCGGTGGTGCACTGGAGAGTGCGCTGCTTGGGAGCGTGGCGGCGCTCCCGCCCAGGGTTCGGATCCCATGTGGAGACCGGTTCCCGCTCACTGGCTGAGCGTGGTGCAGGCGCAACACCGAGGGTTGCGATCCCGTTGCCAGTCCCCGGTACGGGCGCGACACCGAGGGTTGCGATCCTGTTACCGGTCAGTAAAAAAGAGACAAAAAGGAAAAAAAAATATCGTTTTGTCTGTTGTACTATAATAATGTTAGCAATTCACTGAAAAGAAAAAGTTAGGCTTTATTACCATTATTACCACCTTTAAAAATGAGCATATTAAAGACTTTCCATACAAAAAAAATACTCTTAAAAGTTTTTAGCTATTAATTTTATTTGCATTCAGAGGAGTTTTCCTTTTGAGTCAGAGTCATACAGACCGGCCGCTCACTGGCTGAGTGAGGCGCGGGAGCAACACCGAGGGTTGCGATCCCGTTGCCAGTCCCCGGTACGGGCGCGACACCGAGGGTTGCGATCCTGTTACCGGTCAGTAAAAAAGAGACAAAAAGGAAAAAAAAATATCGTTTTGTCTGTTGTACTATAATAATGTTAGCAATTCACTGAAAAGAAAAAGTTAGGCTTTATTACCATTATTACCACCTTTAAAAATGAGCATATTAAAGACTTTCCATACAAAAAAAATACTCTTAAAAGTTTTTAGCTATTAATTTTATTTGCATTCAGAGGAGTTTTCCTTTTGAGTCAGAGTGAAGGTACTGGTGCCTTTCATCCCTGTTATTATTCTTGTTTACTTAGTCATAATAAGGAAGATGTGAGTCAACATCCTTTAACTTGATATTCTTCTATTTTTCAGCCACCTCAAATGGGAAGTGTACCTGTAATGACGCAACCAACCTTAATATACAGCCAGCCTGTCATGAGACCACCAAACCCCTTTGGCCCTGTATCAGGAGCACAGGTATTACATGCTACATGTAACCGTTGTGCTTGATTTGGAAGGGATGTAATACTAACAAATCCTTTTAATACAATTTGAAAAACAAGTTAATAGCATTTTCCCCCTTAATCATGGACGTTACCTGCTTCACATCTTTCTCATATAAGAACTTGTAGGAATATTGATTATTTTGAGGGAAAGGATTACTTACAGATATTAAAGATGGAAAATTTTTGATAACTTATAGTTGATGGATCCAGAGGATGGTTTTTCAGAGGTTAAGGAACATGGCATGCTACCCTCAAAACCATTAACTCAGAGCTTCAGTTTCTTGACTAATAGCTTGAATAATACTACAACAAGGGTGTTTACCCTTGAGATATTTGTAAAATTCTCGGCAAGTTTTCAAAAAGTTTTGGATGTTATTTTTTCATTAGGTGATTTTCTGCCATTGAGGATTACATTCAAAACCAAAAAAAGGCAAAAATCCTTTAATTGCCATGCTGACCTAAATTCTATAAAGGAGAGACTCTTCTATTCAGATGTTTCTAAGGCTCCCTCTTCCATTTCCTGGAAATTCATCATAAATATTCACTCTTTGTTTTTCCATTACTGTTTTCATTAGAGGAATCTGGATTTTTTTTAAAAAGCTTTTACCCCCTTTAAGGTTATTCCTTTGTTTTAAATTTTCTGGTGGCATACCATGTGATGAGAACTTTGTGAAGTGATTGGATGGATTATACTTCTGTGTCTGTTACTCTGCTCACAGAATTTAACAGTTATAAATAGTTAATTATATGCAATTGTTAAAGCACCCTTTCTTTTTAAAAATGGTTTCCAGTGCCAGCTGATTGGTATTGTATGCATTTAGTGCTTGCTTGAAAACATTTGAGGAGCCTTTGGTAATGGACTTGTTGTTCCTTTTCCACTCGAATGCATATATATTAACATTTGCCAAAATATATAATGTTAAATTGCCAAAGTTAATTTATACCAATTCAATTTACGTCTAGTCTCTGTGTATTTCATAGACTAGTGAACATAGGAGATTCTTTCATTTTTCAGCCTTTTTGAGTATTGAAATTTTTCAATAAATTGACATCTCTGTTGGCTGGGAGCAGATAGTGAATTTAGTTCTGATTAAGAGGTAAAATCCATGTTGGTATCAATTCATACATTTGTCCACATGCCTCTTCATTCGTGTTAAAGTAACTTTTCTTCCTGTTTCTTAATCTGTGAAGAAAGTGAAGATAGTGTGGGGTCAGGGTAATCAACATAATCATTACTTTTATGTCAGTTACTATTATGATTTGTTTTTATAAAATGGATTATGGGTATTTACAGTTCTCTTCTCCATCTTTTACCAGCAGTAGTTCTGACTACTGGTATAACTTGATAAGGAAACGTATTAGATTTTGATAAACTTTTAAGTATGTTTAATGATTTCCCTGTTGATTGATGTAGATGTTTTCTTGAGATTATAGTTATAAGTTTCCTCGTGTCCTTTAGTTTTTTTCTTTGTTATTGATACTTTAAACTTCACATATATATATATATTTAAAAATTAATTTGGTTTTATGCTGTAAGGGACTAAGTGATAAGAACCTAAATGTATTTAAAAAAAAAAAAAAAAAAAAGCCATAGTCCAGAGCTATATAAACTTACTAGGAACCACTGACTACAGAATTTTTTTTTCCTGATAATGTAGTTAAACCCTGCACCCGGTCTGCATCCTGTCTTGCAGGCTTCTGTCAGAATATATTGCTGCTTTAAGCTTGGATACTGCTGGACAGTTTCCAAGCACTTTTTGCATACATTATTTTACCTAATTCTCAAAATAATTTTTAAGATAGATAGGTCTATTATCACCGTCACATTTTATAGGTGAAGAAGACTGAGACTTGGAAAGGTTCTTCAACTAAGTAAGTAGTGAAATGCAGCTTATCCCCACGTGTCCTCAATGCGTGGTCCAGAGCTCATTTGTACTAGTCTTTCTGATGGTGGGATTGAGCCCTTAATGCAGTGAACCATTCTGCTAATCTCTTAGGGGCTTTACTGTTGGATTGTAAACCACATTTACACATTTAGGCTGTAACTACTATTCTTGTCAAGAACATCCTCTGCAGTTTTAGATAATACCTTCAACCTTGAAACATTGTATGAATTTTGTTTTTTTTAAAAAAATGGTTTAAAAAAATCTTAGTAAAAATCTACCTTTAAAAAATTGTCCCTCCCCCCCCAGCATCTTCCCTTAACCCAGGTTTTATAACCTTTTCCCTTCTAAAATCCACATAACCTTTTCATTGAAACACCAAAAATGTACTAGAATTTTCATGTGCATGAAAAGAAACTGACAGAAATGCCTTTTCCTAATAACTTCATGCCAGAAGAAAAGTGAATGAGAACATTAGGGTAATACGTTTCTAGTTGAGAGATCAAATTTGAAGTGAGTACTTAACTCTAAGTATTATTGATTGAAAAAGCAAATAAAAGAAGGAAGCAAATTGATAACTAGAAAAAGAGAAAGTCAGGCAGCAGTGAAATGGCTCAAAGAAACTTTGGTCTCTTCACACAGTCATTTGAATCGTTTGGAAGTCAGAATCTTAAGTCTTTTAATGTTACTTTTAATCCCTTTCCCCCCTTTGTTCTCCATGTATCTAATCATAAAGTCCCACTAATTTTTCCTCTGCTATAATTAGATCCATCCTTCTCCTTGCATTCTACAACCTTCACCCAAGTTGGAACCTCTTTATTCACACATGTCTTACAACAATTTCCCATGTTCTTTGCGCCTCTGATTTAATTCTTTCTGTAGGTACTGGAATAATCTTCTATAGGCAGTATTTGTAGCATCTTATCTCCATACCCAAAAATCTAAGGAGGCAAATTTAAAGCCTCTCCTCAACTTTCCTTCTGTCTTAAACTACTTCACAAAGTCTCCTTATTTGTAAGAGTAATAATGAGTTAACAGAATATTTGGGTTCTTCAATCCCCGTGCCTTTTACAATTCTTTTTTTTTTTTTTTTTTT